GTTTCCTGGTTTTTCGGTCCAAAAGGTCCAAATCAGCTTGTGTCCAGTTAACTATACCAGCTGTGTATCTTATAACTAGATTTCAAAATTTTCCTAACTCTGTTGGTGTACTCTCGCCTGACATTAGTTTTTACTTCTCCATGCTTGATGTTATCCAACTGCAGAATGCCTAAGTATTTGTAGGCTTCATTTTCTTTGCATTTAATTAATTGGCCATTGGGCATTTCAATTCCCTCACATTCAGTGATTTTGCCCCTTTTTATGGATACAGTGGCACATTTTTCCATGCCAAACTGCATTGAAATATCGGTGCTGATATTTTTTATTATTATTATTATTATTATTATTATTATTATTATTATTATTATTATTATTATTATTATTATTATTATTATATAAGTCTTCTGGGAGTTGAAGTCCATAAGTTTTAAAGTTGCTAAAGTTGGAGACTCCTGCTTTAGATTAGAAGTGAAGCAGTCAAGATTTCTGGACATTTTCGCTACTGAAGCCACGTTTAAGGCGTTTAAGGAGCAGCGGATTTCACAAGCAGGGATTCTGGCCCGGTGCTAAATGGAAGAGTTATTCCGTTAGATGATGGAGCATTTGGATTTGGCTAACAGCACTTGCTTGATTTCAAAGACACTGGTTAGACACTTTCTATTTTATTCAGCCGCATTGAGAGCCTGTGGGGCAGCTTCCTTTGGAAGCCACCTGCAAAGATATAATGTAAAAATAAATGGAAAAAGGACTCCCACAGATGTGTACAATAATGTGATCCATAGAGCATAGAATCATAGGGCTGAAAGGGACCACATCTTTTAGTCCAACCCCCTGCTCAAGGAAGGAGACGTTATACCATCCTCCTCAAATGGTTATCCAGTCTATTTTTTAAAACCTCCAGTGAACTTGCTGCTCACCTTATATCTCTCCCTTAACAAGTTGGACCTTCAGATCCCACTGGTGTTTTTTTTTGTCCAAGGATTATTTAGAGTTTGAGCAGTGGTGGGGTTCAAAGGATTTAACAACCGGTTCTCTGCCCTAATGATTTCTTCCAACAACCAGTTCACCAAACTGCTCAGAAAGTTAACAACCGGTTCTCCCAAAGTGGGAGGCTGGTTGAAGCCAACCACTGGGTTTATTATATTATTAGAGGAAACACTTGAAGACCTGGCTCCCTTCATTCCAAGAAGCAAAGACATTGGGCAGAGATTGTGATGGTTCTAATCCAGCATCAGGAAAGCCACAGATCCCCCACTCTGCAGGACAGTATGTTCTTCAGCCTAACACCAGATGATTTTGTGGAAGATCCATAACTTTTTAGTTCCTTGCAAATGTTAAGGTTCTTTAACAGATGCACAACACTTCATTTTTCAAAATGAATTTTATTTCTCAGTTCCCCATAGGACTTTAGGAGAAAATTGCTCTTGATTGTTTCAAAGTTGCAGCCCATCTGCAGTTTCTTATACAGTCTTATGAAAATCCGTTTATCAAGCAGCCTTTTGCTTAAGAAGCATCATTCCCTAGTTTGGAAACTAGTGGCAGTTTTAAACTTATAAACTTATGATGTTTAAGTTCTCAATTGGTTAGGTAAATTAATTCTAAAAAAGTGAATTATTTTTAAAAAAATCAACACTAAAATGTGATTAAACTTGTTCAGGGATAGGAACAAGGTAGGAAGGAATCGTCTTTGTTGCCCAAATATAAGTGCTTACTTAAACTACTAGTTAGGACATAAAAGCATTAGTGTTGCCCTGATGGTTCAGAGCCTTGGCCCATCTGTTCTCACAGTGGGCAACCAACTACACAAGAATGTCCCTAGTCTTATAGAAGATGGTCTTCAGAGGTATCAAGCCATTGATCCTCATGACTTTCATGAATTGCTCCAACCTTTTTTTGAAACCAACCTACCAACCAAGCTCACAACATCTCAAATTCCAAAGTTTCATTATGTGTTGTGTAAAAAAAAAAGTCTACTTGTCTTCAAATGGTTGAATCAAATCACGTCAATGATATTTGACCAAGATTTATTTGACTGATGATCCACCTAGCTTTTGTGCTACAGAAAAAAAAAGACTAATCTTTTCCGGCTCTTATGGACCTTTTGCAGTAGCCTAAAGATATCGTTAAGTGGATTATTGCAGATGTGGTGCTTTTCCTTTTATTCCAGGCAAGACTTTCTTCTCTGACATCCATGGTTAATGGAGGGGGAGATTTGAAGCGATATGGTCAGAGGGATATGGTTTGTTGGTCTCATTATGGCAGATTTGCTGTGGAATTGCTTCTTCGGTCCAGTCTTTGGAACCAGCAGCTGTACTTCACTGTTGATTTGACTGCAAGGTGAAACAGAGACCCAGCTTTTGCAGTCATTTAGTTTCCTCTTTTTAACTAATCCACAACGAAGTGAAACTCTGAAATTGACCAGTCTCTGCTTCATGCATGTAACTGAAATAATTTGCCTCTTTGTTATAGCGATATGGAATTCCCTTACCTGGTTGCTCCTCCCAAGGGTTCCCTGGCTCTTTTGCATGTTAGGGTAATTTACAGTTCCTGCCCAGGTCTTTAACACTTACTGGTTGTCTGCCTCTAGACAAATCCAAACAACCACTAGATGGAATTCTCAGAGTTTGTTGTATAAATTCAAATTCAGAAGCACACACAGATAACTGATGCAGCAGGATTCATTAACTTCTTTATATACCGGTACATAAGGATAGATGAATAAATGTACAAAACCAACAGGTGGTTCTTCTGAGAAAACACAAGGAAGGACTTACAGGCAAACACAAGCAGTTAGTTTCATTTTAGCAGACAAGCCCAGACAGACTGCTAGTTTACTTCTCAGAGCAGCAAACTGCTTAAGTTCAATTCTCTGCAC